TAATTTAAACCTAATTAGCTCCTTTAATTCCATAAATAAAATCACACAACATTTAAACCGAACCTAACGCAATCACAGAAAAATAAAACACAATCAAACTAAATAGAATAATTAATCCAATAAGGCAACTTCAAATACAAAATTTAAATTTAAATCAAATGGAAACAAAAATAAAAATAAAACAATTAAGCACCTAGCCACATAAATACCAAAAAATAATTAAAATAAATAATGAAAACAATAAAATAAATATTAAAATTCCAATTATGACCCTTACAAAATCAGGGGTATTACAAGTACCTAATTGATAAATAATATCAAGAATGAGAAACGAATATGCAATGGAAAATAAAATAAAAATAGAAGCAGTCTAATGAACACTATTGTCTAGTTTAATTCCAACAAAACCGTTAATCCCTGGCAAAGGCACCAAAATTTGACGAGCCTTTCTTCTATGTGTTTAGAAAACGGACTTTGTAATGTGAGAGGTCGCTTCGCAAGGTCAAAATATGAATGTGGTTTCAGAAGTCTTTCTAGTCAAATTTACATTTATAAAACCACCACTATAACTACTGAAGTATAGTGAGTAGGGATCATCCACATAGATTATACGTATTGGAATTTAACTTCGACTCTAATGTACCAATTGATTGCAAAGAGAGAGATCGGTTGATTAAACTAAGATGCAAGGAAATTAAAATGCAATTAAAATAAACTAAGTTGAGTTAGGGATTTAAGAGATGAGAAGTGAGGTCTTGGGGTCTATTGAAATTGCCACCAAACTTGTTCACCAAACCACACACTTTCAAATAATTTGGGGAAAACATTATTGTAAACAAAATACGTTTACTATTGCAATATTAAGCATGGACCATCAAATTCATGTATGAATTGTCTACCTAACCGATAAATAAACTAAGTGTAGCACAAAAGTACAACAAATCCTAATATGGCTCTAAGTTTTTAAGAGACGCAACGCGGAAGTCCTATAACGAAAACACTCCTAAGGATACTAGAACCTGGAGTGCTCTGATACCAACAGTGATACCCCCGAATTTCCGGATGTGGGTTGGCCAGGCCCACGCCCGATAACCCGAGGATATCAAATCAATTAGCAATAATCGAACACAGAATACAAATAAGAAAAACAAGAATAAATAAATTGTTGAAGAGAAACTAGAATAATAATCCAAAACCTCAGAATAAAATTACAGACTATCAATAACAGTATAGCAATTTAATAACTAAAACCAAAAGCCAGGTAATTGCAGAATAGTTTATACAACACTACAGCAATTACAGTTCAAAACCATAATCCAATTACTTGTAAGATAATATCTAAGATCCCACAATTAACATCCAAACCATGTAAATTATAACCTATAAATAACAGTATAGCAATTTACAATCCAGAACCATCCCAAATAATTACAGAAGACTATTTATAGTTTCAGCAATTTAAATCCAAGAGTTAAACCATGTATTTGCAGGAAACGGTTTAAAGGTTCAACAACTAGCATCCATAGCATGCGTAGATCACATCTAATATATCAATGACTCTATAATGCATTAAAAATAAGTTTTTAAATCACATTATAGTCCCATAAATTGCTAGATTAATTTGAGCAACTTAATTTTCTCCATCAGGTTGCATGCTAAGTTGTATACTGATATTCTGTTTAATCTGTTAGCACAGAGCCCCAATAAGCTACAAGTCTAATTGTTATTCAAAAGACTCCATCACACATTTAAACTTTAATTTAGAACTATATTATAGCCCCTTAAATTGTCAAATTAAAATTAGACAATAAATTTCCTTCCAGCCGTTACCCGTACGCACAATTGTTAAATTAGCACACTGTTAATTTCATTCACTTAGAGGTCAAGCTTACTCAATTTAAGGACTTAATAACTCTCAAATCCAACCTTCTAATCCCTCTGTAAAACCCCAGAGTCAATAGAAATGTTCCCATGCTCCAATAATATCCAAACAGTTCGTAGAATTTTTTTCAGAAAATTACTATTTGAAAGAGCCTGCTCTAAATTCCAAGAGCACGCCCTTTTTTGAGCCTGGAGCCGGCTCTAAGAATGTAGAGCCGGCTCAATGAGTGTGGGAGCCGGCTCCCACATCCATGGAGCCGGCTCTCACCTCCTTTGAGAGCTTCCAGTCCCCGTTTGCTCCGTCCTCGTCCTTCTGCTTCTTCTCCGGCCTATGTCCACCCTTCAGTTGATTTCTGAAACTTATCCTAGGGTCTTATTAATACCAAAACAGACTCCCAATGGTTTTAGAACAACAATTTGAAATCAAATACAGAGATTTAACTAAGCAATTTACTAGCATGCTTAAAGAGCAAAACTGGAACAGACAATAACGAATTTATTTCAGACCACTTTCTCAGACAACATATAATGAAATTTGACATATAATAATCATGCAAGATCCATTTAAGACTCAACAAATTCCCTAGAGTCTAAAATTACAACCGGACTAACAAGCTTTTCCAATAAAACTGAAAACAGATGTGTACGAATTCTGTAATAGATTCGATTACAACCCAAACAGATTATCAATATAACATACAATTAACATGTAAGTTTTAGTTTATAATTTATTTAACCCTAGAGACTACCTAGGTGCACAGAACACAAGCCAAAGGGAAGGAGAAAGTAGAAGAACTTGCCTGTAGCTTTGGTCTCAAAACTGTGTTGTCGTCTTCCTAATTTCCGGCAACCACTGACCACCTTCAAGCCTCCTATGGTTTTGGTTTAATCCACCACAACTCTCCCTTGGCCCTCTTTGTTCTCCTTCTAAGTTTTGTTCTGTTTTTACTCTCGTTCAATTCTCTCCAAACTCTCTGTATTTTCACTGTGTCGTGAATAGGGTTATCAAACCCTAGGGACGTATAAGTTATATATTTATAACTAACTCAAAATCCTAAGTCAATAAAAACCCTAGACGTAAATCCTAATTAATTATGTCGGCAAGTCCATAAAAATACTAAAACCCTAAAAGATAATTCATACACTTAATTTAATTAAACAGTTACGTCCATGCAAGAAAATAATTAATAATACAATTAAAGTAAGCATAACAACCAAAAATACAATTAATTTAATTAAAATATACTTAACTAAATAAGGCAATTCAAATACAAAACTAACAGTTTAAAACAAATAAACCAATTAAACATTTAAGCAACTAGCCACATAAAAAAAATAAATAAATAAATAAAGATAATTGAAATTCCAATTTTATTCTTTTTAAAACTAGGGGGTATTACAAATTCCCCCTTTATAAAATGTCCTTGGAGTAGTGAACAAGTCAGAAAATAAACCCTTAAAATATCTAATCCCGCAACTATGTGGTAGGTAGAGTTCGGGAGCATAGGAATAAAACAGTTCGCTCCCAGCACATTTTTGATCGATTAAAGAAATCTTCGATCGATCGATCCAAAATATCTTCGATCGATAGAATAAATCTTCAATCGATCCAAATTTTCAGCATTTTTTACTTTTTTTCTGGATTTTTCTGAAATATTTCTGGAACTTTTGCTTAATTCCAAAAAGGCTGTAATAGACCATTTTTAGCCCGTTTGAACCTTATTAACCTGAAATAGACAAAAACACAAATAAGTACTAAAACGGAAAAATAAAGATAGATGAATGGACTAAAATACCCTCGATTAGGTGCTAAAATGTGTCACATTTGAGCGTTCATCATCTGTCGTCCACCGCCACCTTCCACCACTGCGACCACCCGCCGCCTTCCAAACCACCACCTATACCACTACTGTATATTTTCCACCTCCACTATCATCTTCATCTCCATCCAACACCACCACCTATACCACTACTGTATATTTTCCACCTCCACTATCATCTTCATCTCCATCCAACACCACCACCATTTCTTTTATAAAAATTATAAAAGAATGTTATTTTGTTAACTTAATTTATTGTCATTAAGAGGGGTATTTTGGAGAATTCAATTCAAATTCATTATATTCTAAATTTTAAATTTGTCCAACCAAACACTAGAATGATTATTCATATACATATCATATTTGCAACCAAATAATGAAATTAGAATGACTATTCCATTATATTCCCATGCTCATTACATACTTGCATTTCATTCCATTCCTGCAAAACAAATGCGACATAATAGCAATCATATTTGCGGAAGGAAATGAAAGGAACCATTTTATTGAATTTACAACTATACCCTTTTTATAGATTTAATTTTTTATAAAATAATGACAAATTTGATATTAACAAAGTTGCATTAGAAATATTTGTCTTTCATCCCATTTTGAAATGATAACAAAAGTTACTATTCATGCCTTATTGCATTCCACTGAATCCTTTATTTTCCTTCCAACATTTCATACTAGAAACAATCTATCATCTTTATTACCATTATTATTATTTTTTTCCTTTCATTTCCATTGTGCCAAATTGGCCCTAAAATCGCAACATAAGAGATTACGGATTATATATTAAAATTAGAGGTGCAACTTGGGTTACGTAACCCGAACCCACCCAAGCCCAGCTTGATTTTTTATGGGCTTAGACAATCATTTTTATGATTAAGTTTGGGTTTTGGATGAAAAATTCTAACCCAAACTTAATTAGGGTTGAGTTTGGGTTGAGGTGCTATAAACCCGGGTCGAACCTGAACCCGGATTCTATATATATTTTTTTCCATATATATTTTTATTTGAAATGCATTATATATACTATTCAAATTACGATCACCTTTTTTCTTTCTAACTTCATTTGGTAAATCGTAATTTATTTTATGTTAACATTTAGTAGAATTAATTTTCTAAGAGTTTGTTGGTAATTTATTTATAAATTTGCAATAAGTTTTTAAAACTTTTTTTTAAGAGTAATTTAATCATAAAGTAATTCAAGCCCACATTAAATTTGCACCGTGGAGATTGGTCATATGGATAACTTGAATTAGTCTGACTTTCTAACCCGAAATTTAAGTTCGAATTGTAAACCCGAGTTCAAAAAAAAAAAAGAAAAAAAAAAAAGAGATGAACTTGGGTTTAATAGCTAGGGTTGAATATAGAGTTAAGTTTAAGATCGGATTGAATGTAAGGTTAGGATTGGACTCGATTGAACATTTTATATATTGAGTTGCTCCAGTTCGCTTGAGTTGCAGCCTAATTTAAATCTACCGGGTCTAACAATTTTCGAGAAAAAAATGGGGAAGGGGCGGCGCAGATTAGGCTAAGTTATTATACTTACAACTCGCTCGAGTTCCACAGTTATAGGGAAAAAAAAGGAGAAAGGAAGGGCGGCGTTTGTAAGTCACAAGGCGCGTTGGAGTTTTGTATGCCTCCCACCCCAACCAAAAAAGGAAAAGAAAAACCTACACCCTTCCCATCTCTCTCACCCAAAAACTTGCAACAAAAGCTCTATACCCATTTTCTCTCACACCCGAAAGCCCTAGATGCAACAATGGCATTAAGCTACTCCCTCTCACACCGAAAAACCCTAGATGCAACAATGGCATTAAGCTACTCCCTCTCACACCGAAAAACCCTAGATGCAACAATGGCATTAAGAGCTCTCAACACAATCTACTCGAAGCTCCTCTCTCGAATGGCTGTTTGTTCCCTCCGCACATTCGCTCCCATCAACTCCAATTCCGAATCAGATATTCCAACTAATAATTCGGATTCGGACTTACGTTCAAAACAACTTCCTCATGCCGAAGGTAAGAAAAACAGAGCATTCAATCGATTTATGAAAGACGGGTCAACATTCCCCCGCAAGGTGTTGAACGACGACGAGAAATATGCGAGGATGGACATGCCGGTGACCCGGAAGCAAGGGCTGAAACTGTTGGTTGCAGACAACTCTCTGAATGCCTTGGAAGAGGTGGATGATGATCCTCTGTCCGTGGAGGAGTACCGAATGAGTTACTTCGGCAACATCGATCTTCCTCAGAGCCTCTACAAGATGGGAAATATCGTAACCGAGCTCAAGGACATTGCGTTTAGCTTGAAAGTAAGTATTACTTTAGTAGAATCGGATATTTAAGTTGTGCTTGTAACTAATAGGTTTTTTTATTTTTTATTTTTATAAAAGAATTTGCTTTATCAATTTGGGACTACAATTGATGGGATTTCAAATACCGGGTAGATTGGAGAAGAAAAATTTAATCCTTTGAACTAATTTTTCTTTAATTAATTCCAAAGCACCAAATCCATGCAAACCCACACCGTCTATAAGGAAACAAATGTCTAAGATCTTCTTACTCTCTAGTTTATATTTATCTCTAGACTCTTGAGTACTTTCCGTATGTATAATGTCTTCCTACCCTGTAGTTTTTCTTTTATATCTATATTCCATTCCATATCACATCTTCCAACTGCACTCAAGTTTAAACACTAAACTATTATATCACGCTCAATGAATTTGCGCCTACTCTTATTTATATTATAAAATTGGTTCTAGAATTATTAAAAAACATATTTTAAAGATATTTACGAGCAATCAGACAAATTTCTAGTTTAGAACATTTTGAGAAGTTAAGTTCATTTTTTTTATATACTCATTTTACAATTTTATATCTATATATAATAATATTTTCACTTCAAATCCCATCTTACATCCAAACTAAAAACTGAATTTCTTTCTTTCGAATCCAATTGTTCCAAACATACAAATGGAATTTCATTTTAATTCCTATCTAATCCCAATTCCAACTCCTTTTTCAAATTCAAATCCCAAAAGGAACTTTTTTTGGATAAGTAAGGTTTTATAAAAGGCCCTCAAAAGGGGAGCGATCCCAAAGAAGACAACGGCGGACCCACAATCGGCTCTATAGCTTTAAGCTATCCATAAAATTCAAAAGACTATCCATTGAATTACAATCCCGCCCATATACGCAAAAAAATAAAGAAGTAAGAATATTGTATTTAATAGCCCAAATGGGAGACTCCTCTCCTTTAAAGAATCTCCTATTTCTTTCGCACCACAGACCTTACCAAATACAAAGGGGAGTGGCCCTCCAAGCATCTCTGACTTGACTTTCCACTGTCCATCCTTTCTAAGTCTTTGACAAGTCGACCGTGGATTCTGGGAACACCCATGGAAGACCAAACGCAACCCAAAACATTGCCCAAACATCCCTAGCTATTGAGCAATGAATAAGGAGATGGTTGACAAATTCCCCCATCTTCTTGCACATGTAACACATGTCAACCACAATATGACTTCTTTCTCTAAGGTTATCAATAGTAAGGATACTTCCCAAAGCGACAGTCCACGAGAAGAATGCCACCTTCAGAGGAGCTTTTGTCCTCCAAATGGCTTTCCAAGGAAACATAGGGCCAGGGCGCTCCAACATGCATTTGTAGAAAGAATTGACCTCGAACACTCCTCTCGGGGTACCCACCCACAACATCTCGTCCATTCCCACCCTAACCACCACCTGTTTATAGATGAATGCTAGGAAGTCTGTAACCTCCAAAAGTTCCCAATCGTGAAACTGTCTGCGGAACTACACATCCCAAGTCACCTTCCCATTATCGAGTCGATAATAGTTAGCGACCACCGCATCTCTAGCCATAGCAATCCGGTAAATGCGAGAGAATCTACTGGCTAAATCCGAATCCCCACACCATTTGTTTTCCCAAAACTTGACATTACTTCCGCTTCTAACTTTGAACCGAATACGTTTGGAGAATTCATCCCTACCTTTACGGATAATTTTCCAAGAGCCCATACCTGCTAGGGTTCTAGGCTCCTAGCCTCCCTAGAAATCCACCCTTCATCGCCCTCCCCGTAATGACAAGCTATAACACGCCTCCAAAGCTTGAACCTTTCTCTCCCGAACCTCCACAACCACTTGCCCAACAATGCCTCATTAAACACATCTAGCCTTCGAATCCCCAAACCCCCTTTATTAATTGGAGAGCACACCCTCTCCCAGTTAACCAAGTGGTACTTGAACTCACCTCCTACACCCCTCACAGAAACTTCCTTTGAATATTATCAAGTCTTCGAACAACTGTCTTAGGCATCGGAAATAGCGACATATAGTAGGTCGGAAGATTTGAAGTGTGCTTTTCATAAGTGTAACCCTCCCCCCTTTGGACAAGTATTGCTTTTTCCAACCTGCAAGCCTCTTCCCAAACCGCTCAACAATCGGATCCCACACAGAAACTCTCCTTGATGAGGCTCCCAAAGGGAGTCCCAAGTAGGAGATCGGAAAAGAGCCAACACCACACCCCAGAGTATGCCAAGGCATGAATATCATCCACCTCTCCAACTGGTACAATCTCGCTTTTCACAGTGTTAATCTTCAACCCTGAAACAACTTGGAAGTAGGCCAGTACGCACTGTAAATACCTCAACTGAAGGTGGATAGCATCACAAAAGACAATGGTGTCATTCACAAAAAGCAGGTGGGAGATGACCAACTGATTTGGAGCTTTGCCCACCGAGAATCCATGAATGAACCCAAGATCACCCGCCCTCCCCATCAGATGGCTAAAGGCCTCCATGACGATAATAAATAAGAATGGGGAAAGAGGGTCCCCCTGCCTCAATCCAAGAGAACTAGCAAAAAAACCAGCTGGGGATCCATTCACTAAAACAGAGAATCGAGCAGTCGAAATACAGAAAAAAATCCATGACCTCCACTTTTGCCCAAAGCCCATTCTCTTCCTTAGGTACATCAAAAAATTCCAGCAAATATGATCATAAGCCTTTTCGATATCCAGCTTGCAAACAACCCCCGGAATACCACTTCTCTCCCTAGCCTCAATGCATTCACTAGCAATCAAAATTGAATCCAGAATTTGACGCCCTCCACCAAATGCATTCTGGGAGTTTGAAATCACCCCTTTGAGAACTCTCCACAACTGAAGACTTTTGCAATAATTTTATACACCACCCCAACAACACTAAGTCCTTCGCCTCACATGCTCCACCCTCTTTGGGAATAAGAGTGATGAAGGAAGCGTTGAGGCTCTTCTCAAAAGAACCATGCAGAAAAAAAGAATCCAATGCCCCCATCACCTCAGCCTTCACCACCTCCTAATTCTGATGAAAGAAAGCTAAAGTAAACCCCTCTGGCCCTAGAGCTTTATCCCCATCACAGCTTCTTAGAGCCGCCAACTCCTCATCTTCCCCAAACGGCATTTCAAGCCCGTCTCTATCACCTTCCGAGATTGTTGCAAACTCAAGCTCATTTGAAAAGTTGTCCATTTGAACTAGACTTGGTTTATAGCGTGCCCCTGTAAAGAGGTGATGATATGCTGTGTTTACATTTTTCTGAAGGAAAGAGGCATTGAAGGTTACAATGACAGAGAGGGCTCTTTCTGCAGTGAGGTCCTATTTTCATATAGAGTAAATTAAATAGAGGAGTCCTCTCCTGCTGAATACTTCTAAGGACTAATCCATGTGAGGGAGCCTTTAGTTTCTGGGAGACACTGATTCGCAAAAGATGGAATTTTGCCAGCGGTGGGATTCATGGGCGTAATAGGAAACTATGATTTGTAGTCTCTGCCTATTTTTACATGTCAATTACCTTACTTCTGTTTTTGCTTCATGTTCTTTTTAAATATTGGAGATTATAGCAGAATAGGTGGTTTATTTTTGCAGTATTTCAATTAAGCTCAACATTTCTGGAAGGGGAATTGTAGCATCAGGCTAGATTGTTTGTCAGGAACCTTTTATTATGACCCCCATAGTAATTATTCAATTAATTTGTCAGTTCCATTGAACAAGATTATGTGCCATGTAGACCACTTTCTTGTGTATTTCTGGTATTCTCCATCCCTTAGAATGAATACTGTTGTTATAGGTGGAATATGAAGCATCCGGAGTGAGCTTTTGGTAGAAATAGCTAGGGGCACTTCCATACAGGATCTTCATGCAAGGTTAACAAATAACATCAGAAACCCTCCCTCACCAAACACCCCCCCCCCCCCCCCCCCCCTCCTTTTCTTCTCTCTCTCTCTCATGTTTTCAAAAACAAACTCATGAGATGGTGGATAACAATTAGGAAGTACGAAAAATCGAGAGCCCACTTAGTGACACTGACAGTGCTCCCTTGGCTGTTTTTCTTTGGTAGAACACTTCCATTGATTTTAAAAATAGTGGTTAATAAACTGGTAGATGAGATTATTTTCACTTACTACATAGAAACCCAAGTAAACTTTATGCAGCATTAGGCTAATTTTTCAATTCCATTTACTGACTTTCACCTCTATGTTGGGGCCTTTTCTTGGTTCACTTCTCCAAAAAAAGGTCGAGTGTATAGTACAACTAGCGGTGCACACGGTTCGGTACCATCCCTGGGCTAAATGAGAACCAAACTTATCCCAACAGTTCCTAGAAAATTAGAACCAGAACCAGAAGCGGACCATAGCAACTGTAAAATCAAACGGAACCATAAGAGATCAGTTTGGTCCAGTTATATCCACAGTTCTGGACTTTAGTAGTAGGAACCTGTGCCACCATTGTAACATGTGATTCCATACCTCTCAGAGATTTTGTCAATTCATCTCCTACTTTCACTTCTTTTTCAGCAAGCGTGAGATTGAGACTCAAATGATGTAAAGTAGTGGCAAAATCTCTGTTGGGTGCATGTATTAAAAAACTATGAACAAACTTAATAAATGTGAAGAAATTATATGATTAAGCAAAAAGCCACAACATCATATATATATATATATATATATATATATCATTAACAGTTCAATCCTAATGGACATTGGACCCCAAACCAGAACTGAATTGTGAGTTAGCGGTTCTCTGTTTTTGGAATTGGACCAGTCCAAATCATAACAAAACTAGATTGAACCATACGGTCTGGTTCGGTTCGGATCGATTCACCGGTTCCACTGATTTTTTGTGCACCCCTAATTACAACAAGTGATGCGAGCAGATGTATAATCAAATAATTTGGGGTCTAATTATATTAAGATGAAGTTGCCAACTAAGGGAGCAGGCTTGCCAGGTTATAAAAGAGATGTATGAAATGCATTTGTCTAGGTGAAATAAGAATGCTTAGCTAGATGAGAAGTATGAAATGCATTTGTGTAGGTGAAATAAGAATGGTTAGCTAGATGAGAAGTATGAAACACATTTGTGAGGCAGAAATAAGAATGCTTAAATAGATGATACGAGTAATTAGAAGTAATATGGTAAATGATTAACGTGTGACACAATCAAGAGTTACACTTGTTGCTAATAAATTATAAGGAAGGCCAACTTAAGTGGTCTAGACATGTATAATTTAGACCCGTGGATACACTTGTTATGAAATATAAGATTAGTTTTAAGAAAAATAGGACAACCAATATGGGATAGAATAAAGATGCATGACATCAATGATTTAATATATAATATATAATAATCTATATATGGGTAAATAAAAAGGTGCAGGTTGTATTCTTTTACTTAGTGAGCAAGGTGACATGTGAGAGTGTCATTATGAAAGTGAGTGCAAGTTGCATTTACTTAGTGAGTAAGGAGGTTGCAAGTTGCATTCTTTACTTAGTGAGCAAGGAGGTGACATGTGAGGGCATCATTATAGTTAGTGCAACTTGCATTGTTTTACTTAGAGAGTAAGGTGACGTGAGAAAGTGGGGTCCACGCCATTATGAAAGTGAATGAAAGTTACATTCCTTTCCTCAGTGAAGAAGTTCAGATTAGGCCATAAATAAGGCTCACCTTTGTATTGTTGAGGCAGCTTGAATGAAATTAACAATATATCAGTTTTATAATCTGTTTGAGCTTGAGCTTGGTGTGAGATATATATCTCTTTTCCTGCTTCCGTTACGTGAGGTGGTATCAGAGCCTTGATTTACCCTGGTTTGATGTTAAATGATTGTTTCGGCAGCAACCGCTTTGCCGACGAAGATTGCAAAGGCAGTCATGCATACTTAAGAAAAACAGTTTAGACAAATAGCTAGTCTTGGGATTTGTGGCAACCAGGTTCGTGATCCTGTTCGGGTTCGTGCTAGAGATTTTTCTCGCGGTCAACTGAACATTGGTGTAAATCCACGGAGGCCTCCAGCCTATGCGAATTATTCCGATAATGAGGAGTTAGGAAGATTCGGGATGGATTGGTGTGACCGAGCTAGGCCAGACAAAAACTATCTGAACACTCATGATTGTTACAAGAAGATTGATCTTCCCAGTTTCAGTAGATATCTTCATATTGAGGATTTTTCAGACTGGCTGAACGATGTTGAGCGTTTTAACGAGTATATGGAGAAGACAAGTAGGTTAAGCTTGTACAATACAAGCTTCAAGGAGGTGCTACATCCTGGTGGCCCGCTGGGAACAAAGTCAAAGACACCGGAGATGGCTCAGAAAGCAACCTGCCCGAATGTGGCACAAGATGAAGAAATTATTGATGGCCAGATTTCTCCCACAAGAGTATGAAGAGATCTCGCACCACCAATATCAAAATTGCATGCAAAGGTACTTACACCTATTAACCACTATATTGATGAGTACTACTGCTTGAATGAATGCAATAATCTCTTAAAAGTCGGTAAACCAACATATAGAGAGATATATTGGAAGATTGCGGGTGGTAGAACATGATTAAATTCAGAATCCAACTGAAGAAGAACTGCCCAAAGCTTCTAAAGTGGAGGGGCATTGTTTTCTTGCTGGAGATGAGGCATAGTTTGAAGAGGGAGTAAATGAATCCGATGATATGACAATCATTGTTAAGAGCAAAGAGTCACCTCGTTTTGGATCCAGTGCAACCTTTATGAGCTGAATAACAGTAGTTGATCTCAGACGAGTTACCAGTTGGTTTATCACCCATGCGAGAAATTCAACATCACAAAGATTTGGTTCTTGGCATGAGTTTACCAAACCTGCAACAATACTGCATGAACCCAGTCGAGAATGAAGTGTTGCAGAGGCAAGTTGAAGAGTTGGTTCCTATACCGTGTTTTGATGATAAGATTGATATGGTGGTTGCCTCAAAATTCTTTTCGAATATTAACTTGATTTATTATCATCAAATCCGTGATGATTATGGAGACAAGTGTGCTTTCAAGACGAAAGAGGGACATGCCTATGCATTCGACCTTCCTGAGGGCATGGTCCTTTCTCCTACCTTCTGCTGATTTAGTCTAGTGTTACCTGCCTAGTGAACAGCTTTATTTTCAGCTTAACTTGAGGATGAGTTTTTCTAAAGTGGAGGAGTCTGATGCAGGGCATCCATGATTTGATATATAATATATATAATAATCTCTATATGGGTAAATAAAAATGTGCAAGCTGTATTCTTTTACTTAGTGAGCAAGCTGACACGTGAGAGTGTCATTATGAAAGTGAGTGCTAGTTGCATTTACTTTGTGAGGAAGGAGGTTGCAAGTTGTATTCTTTACTTAGTGAGCAAGGAAGTGACACGTGAGGGCATCATTACAGTAAGTGCAACTTGCATTGTTTTACTTAGTGAGTAAGGTGACATGTGAGAAAGTGGGGTCCACGTCATTATGAAAGTGAATGCAAGTTGCATTCCTTTCCTTAGTGAGCAAGTTCAGATTAGGCTATAAATAAGGCTCACCTTTGTATTGTTGAGGCAGCTTGAATGAAATTAACAATATATAAGTTTTATAAACTGTTTGAGCTTATGCTCGATGTGAGATAATTAGACACCATTCAAAAATTAAATATAATGGGAGAAAAGAATTTCAATAGTAAAGAATGAAATAAGAGAATAGATATGCTCGATTCCATTTATATGGGATAAAGAGAAGGATAATGATCACAAAGGCGTACACGGGTAGGCAAAGGTGGTCTGTAGCCCACCCCAAAAAAAAAAAAAATTTTTTTTTTTTTTTTACTATACTAATGTTAGCCCAGCCCAAAAAAAAGAAAAAAATTAATAGTATTAGCCTACCCCAAAATTTAGCCCACTCAATGAAGCCCAAGTCAACTCGGCCACCATACTAAAATAAAGGCCCCAACCCAGCATGCAAAATGTAATGTGGTGAAACCAAATGAATAAAACTTTAATATATCATTGAATTCAAATATTTATCTATATTATGTTATTTTTATTTATTTTATTTTGCTTAAGAAATTTTGTTATTAAATTTATGTTTAATATTAGCCCACTCCAACGAGAAATCTTGAATCCGCCCTTGAATGATCATGATTCCAAACTTATAAAAAAAAGATGATGATCCCGACTTGATCAATGTGATTATTTGGATTGAATAAGATTGCCCTTTGCTTCGTTCTTCATATAGCATATATATATATATATATATATATATATATATATATATATATATATATTCCTATTGTTGTTGAAGACTTTTGGTTCACCTTTAAATTTGGTTTGAACTTGAATTTGGATCTTCTGTAGGAGTTCAAATTAAAATGAAAATTACTTCTTCATCTGTCATATCAAATTTGGCTGACTGAATTTTTGTATTGTTAGCCGCAAATGATGATGAGGAACACTTGTGACAGCCGGCGATGGTTTACGAGTCGTACTGATTCAGTTAGTGATGCAGCCAATGTTGAGAGTAATGCCTTTTCTACTAATGCAGCTGGTAATGCCTTTTCTACTAATGTATCTGGTAATGCAATCCACGGTGAAGGCCCAGGTAAGTGTGTTTATGGTGCATGTGCCCTCATTTTTCATTTCTTTTCATTCGAATGATAATTTTAGTATAAGTTACATGATTTAAAAGCTCTATTTATACCTTACGAGTTTAGAGCCTGATGCAGCTGTATATTTTCATTGTTTTAACCTGTACTTATGAGCTTAGAACCTGATGCAGTTGTATGTTTTCATTGTTTTAACCTGTACTACTCTGTTCATTTGCATTATCCTCATAATATGTTGCACAATTTTTTATTTTTTATTATTTGTCATTTGAGAAAAATCCAATTTTGAATTTGGGTGGGAGCATCCTATAGATTGGCATCTCATATTAAAAGAGATAAAAATAAAGAAAAAGAAAAAGACAAAGAAAAAGTAAAATATGGAGGGAGGAAATATGTAAATCTTATCTCTAGGTATCCTAGTGGGTTTCAGATGAATACATAAAACATAAATACCTAAGAGGCACGGAAACGGTTACGGGACACGGATTCGAAAAGACACGGTTACGGCAAATTATAAAAAATTAGGACACGGACACTACAAATAATAAATACAATATGTACTTCAAGAAATTAAGAGTAGTATAATTTTTTTGTCAGTCTAATAATGAAAAAAAAAAATTGTGTTTTGCTGGGAAAAGAATGAATGATAGAAAGAAGAAAGAGAAAAACAAAGAAATAAAGAGGATAGGGGTTTTGTTAAAAACAGAATTAGGGCTTAGTGAGAATTCATAGAAGAGAAAAAGTTCATGGAAAGAAGAGGAAAAAGGAAAAAGAGATGCAAAAAGAATTTTGTTGTGAAAGGAAAGAGTGAAGTATCTAGGGTTTGTGTTGAATAAGAAGAAAGAAAGAATAGGTGGAGAATCGGTGGATCATCTTCTTTTGCACTGCCTAGTGGATTTTGACTGTTGGTATTTTTTGTTAGGCATGTTTCGGGTTTCGTGGGTGATGCCTAGATCTGCGAGAGGACTGAAGGAGGCTTGGAGTGGATGCTTTGCGGGAGGTCATGCTCGTGGGTTTTGGAGGATGGCGCCGTTATGCTTTATGGTGGTGTCTGTGGAGGGAGTAGAAAAATAGATCCTTTGAAGGAGAGGAATCCTCGATTGTTGTTCTTAAGTCAACTTTTATTACATCTTTATGCGTTTGGGGTTTGGGTAGGCATTGTTCCTCTCCGGAGGAGATAACTGACTTTATTTCTTCCTTGGGTCCATAGGATCCTTTTGTTGTTTATGGGACACATTCCCCTTTTGAATGCCTTTTATTGAATTTGCTTAATTATCAAAAAAAAAAAAAAAAAAGAAAAAAAAAGAAGAAAGAAAGAATAGAGGAGGAGAAAGAAGAAGAGAGAAAATAAGAGAGAGAGAGAGAGAGAGCATCCACTGAGAGCGAAGCTTGGTTGGTGGGAGAACAAGAGAGAGTCAAAGATGATTGAGCAAGAGTTTCAACCTTTGAACTAAAATATAAGCATATATATTTGATTGTTTAATATAACACTTTTTTATAAAACAACTTTTAAGTATTATTATTATTTTTTTAATAAGTAAAAATGGTATAAAAAGCACTCAAAAGGGGAGGGCATCCCAAGAGAACCACACAAGGCCAAATAGGGCCTCTACACTCTCAAAGAGTCCAAAAAATCAACAATCTTCTTTAAGGATTTATAATTTCTCCCTACGACCTAACAAAAAAGAGTAGTAATAATGGAGAACTTAAGTGCAGAGATAGTAGTCACTTTTCCTTCAAAAGATCTCCTATTTCTTTCAATCCACAGACACCACCAAACGCACAAAGGCGAAACCCTCCAAACATCCCAGGCTTGGGCCCCACTGTAAAACCTCTCTAAGCCTCACTTAACCCTCTGGTAGTGTTGGGCATAACCCACTGAACCCCAAACAAACCTAGCATCAAGTCCCAACAATCCCTAGCCATATGGCAGTGCAAAAGAAGGTGGTCCACCGTCTCCTCATTTCTAAGACACATGCAACAAAAATTGACCACAACTTCTTGTTTTCTCTTCAAATTATCTTGGGTCAATATCTTCCCTCGAACAGAGGTCCATGCAAAGAAAGCCACCTTTAAAGGGGCTTTTGAGCTCCAAATAGCCTTCCATGGAAAAGGAACCCCTGTCCCCTCATAAGACATCTATAGAAGGACCGAACATCAAAGCGGCCCTGAGTAACACGATCCCACACCCAATCATCAGAAACGCCGCCCCCAATCTCTTGATGATACAATAGCTCCAGAAAACCAACGACATCCTCAATCTCTCAGTCTTGGAAGTGCCTCGTGAAACGAACATCCTAAAACGATCTCCCACTATCAAGGCAATAGCAGTCAACCACCATGGCATGTCTATCCATGGCAATCCTGAAGAGCCAAGAAAAAGTAAGATCAAGAGAACGATCAGTGCACCAAACATCCTCCCCAAAACGAATTCTCCTACCATCCCTGAGTCGAAATCTGATGTGTTCTGAAAATTCATCCCACCCCTTCCGAATGGATTTGCAAACCCCAACTCCCCCCGGAATACGCACCTCAACGGAGGTCCACCCTCCTCTCCCCTCCCCAAATCGACTCGCAATCACCCCTCCTCCATAGCTTATGCCTCTCTACCCCAAATCTCCACTACCACTTCCCGAGGAGAGCCTTATTGAATGGCACCAATCTTCTGATTCCCAAACCTCCAACCCGGATCTGGCAGCAAACCTTCTCCTAGCTAACCAGATGATATTTCAACTCCTCCCCCAAGCCCCCCCATAGGAAATTCCTCTGCAACCTCTCAATCCTCTCAGAGGAGGGAATCTGGAAAAGTGAGAGTAAATATGTAGGGAGGCTTGAAAGAGTGCTCTTTATCAGAGTAACCCTTCCACCCTTAGAAAGATACTGCTTTTTCCAACCCGCCAACCTCCTCTTGAATCTTTCCACCACACCATAGGATCCCATCTCCCCACACTCCTCCAAGGCGAACCAAAGGGTAAACCCAAATAGGAAATAGGAAAGGAATCAATGCTGCGCCCAAGAATATCAACTAACGTAGCAATCTCAGGAACTTCCCCAACCAGCACCAAAACACTCTTCCCTCCATTCACATTCAGACCCGAGACAGCTTGGAACCAAATCAGGATAAATATCAAATATCTGAAGTGGGGCACATCTGCAACACAAAACGCTAAAGTGTCATTAGCAAACATCAAGTGAGAAATCTCGAGCTGACTATTTGTGTCCTTACCCACCTCGAAGCCTCTCAGGAATCCCAAGTCAACATTCCTCCTCAACAATCTACTCAGAGCCTCCATCACAATAAGGAACAAAAAGGGAGAAAGCGGGTCCCCCTACCTCAAGCCCTTCGAACTGGGAAAGAAACCCATTGGAGCTCCATTCACGAGAACTGAGAATTGAGCACTCGAAATACATAACTCTATCCATCTCCTCCATTTCTCATCCTCTCCAACAAATAGAGAAAAAAGCTCCAACTCACGTGATCATATGCTTTCTCAATGTCCAACTTACAGAAACCACCAGGAACCCACTCACATTCTGGAGTCCACACACTCACTAGCAATAAGGGACGAGTCTTAAATCTGACACCTCCCACTAAGGCATTTTGAGAATCGGAAATGAACCCATCCAAAACCCTCCTCAATCTGAAAGCAAGGACCTTGGCAATTAATTTGTAAATGCTTCCCACCAAACTGATAGGTCTAAAATCCTAATTTCTAAACCCCCCCCCCCCCCCCCCCCCCCCCCCCCCCTTCTTCGGAATGAGAGCAATAAATGTAGTATTCAGACTCCTCTCCGACACGGATTCTTTGCCCTTTTAGGCGTGCCCGTGTTTCCTAGAAATATACTATTTATTCAGAGATTTGGTATGTTCAATAGTTGTTGCATAATATTACTGATTTTTTTTTCTTCATAAAAATCATTTTTACTTGGATTCTTAATTGTCTACTACCAAACCTGGACTGAGTACAGAACTCAAGTCGTGGTTATGATATGGGAGCATGAAATTGAGGTTGCAGTTTACAAGTATTAATTCATTCAGTTTTGAATCAGAAGGCAATGTAAATATATATATATATATATATATATATATATATTTTTTTTTTTTACATTGATAAATAGAAGGCAGTGGAAATATATATATATTTTTGATAAATAGAAGGCAATGTAAATATTAGTTGAAGTTACATTTTTTATCCATTATTGAAGTGCTAATGCTTTATTTATTTACTCTTTCCGTCCCCAAAAAAAAGTGTCCATCTTTCCTTTTTGGGTTGTCCCAAAGTAATTGTCCACCATTCCTTTTTGGGTTGTCCCAAAGGAATTGTCTACTTTCCTTTTTCAAACAACATATTTCACAAATTTCCATATATGTCCTTGGAATTTAAAATTTCAAACTTGAATATTAAAAAAAAGGGCAAGTTAGTAATTTTCCAGGGGGACAATGCATGTCCCACATGTCCCCTTAAAAATAACTACTCCCCAAAAGTGACATTTATATTGGGACGGAGGGAGTATTATTTATAAGTAACATATCATAAAATAGCGCCTGAACAGGGAGCATAACCCAAATAGAAAGCTCACAGCCAAAACAATATGCTATATCCTCAAACTATCCCTAAAATTATCGTATCTTCTACAAATTTACAATTTCAACCGTTTACCATAACAACTAACAAAAATAAGAATATAGAAAGAATAGAGAATTTGAGTGCCCAAGTAGGAGTCTCCTTCCCATCAAGAGATCTCCTATTACTCTCTCTACCAAATACCTGACCACGAGCAAAGAGGAGCAATTTTCCAAGCATCTTGAACTTGCTTCCATTGTACTTTCTCTTCAAGCTGTAAGCATGCTGTTTGTAGAATGAGGCATGTCCAAAGAAACACCAAAGCAGGCAAGAATAAAGCCCTATCCGTCCCTAGTCACTGGGCAATGCAAGAGTAGATTGTTCACCGACTTCTCATCCTTCTTACACATACAACACGAGTTGACGATCAG